TTGGCTTAAGAGTTTTCAGGAAAGTGACTACTTGAAGGTTAATGAAGTAAAAGAGAGCTTCCAGAATCAATTAGGTATTAGATTGTCAGTGCCTGAAAGAATTTTATTCTGGAGCTTTTGGGATGAGGGAGTGATTGTATGTGTAGTATTGCTATCTGGCATGATGGATCTGGGATAGATCTGGTGGAAGTGTCAGGAGGGATTTCACTAGGGGCCAGGGTAGGAATTACAGCCTGCTAGGAACACTGAAAGTCTGAAGGAGTGGACAGGATACAAAACTTGGTAAATGGAAGGGAATTGTTCTACTCTTTTGGCAGTGTTTTGGGAAGACAGGTGAAGTGAAATTCCTTGTCTGACTTTTATTTATGTCTTCATCCTCTCTTTGGCACGTCTCATTTAAAAGGATGTAGCATCTTATACTATACAAACATATGAGCATGTATTTATGTCATTATTTACTTATTTAATTTTGTTTTGGGAATTTCTATGTAAGTACATATCTCTGTGTTGCTACTGGACTTATTATTGAACTCCAGTAGGAACATCACAAAGCTTATCAGCATTATGGATTTTCGTTAATGGGATCCATGAAAAAGCTGCTAGGAAGAGCTATTACTGCTAGGTTTTCTTTCCCATAGGTAGTTTTATGTCTTGTTTTACAGTCACAACTATATTCTTAATATGGGGCATTTATTGGCGCTGCCATAAGTCTCTGCCGGTATCTTTGAATGGACGATTTGATTTTTATGGAAATAGAGGCACTCGCTGCAAATGCTAGCAAATCTCCTAGCTTTATGGCTCAGGTAACATTGCTGACTGTCTTTTCTTTTGTGAGAAGGCTAGATAATATTTTGATTGGGGCCAAGTTTCAGAATTGGCCCTCATTCCCTACGTCAGTGCTTTTCCAGTAGAAATATAATGTGAGCCACATATATAATTTAAAAAATTTCTAGTACCCAATTTATTTTATTTTTTATGGAATTCATTTTACTGCATGATGCTTAATGATGTTATATCAATACAAAAGTATATCAATACAAAAGCTTACAAAATATTTTCTAAATCCATCTGGCATCGCATACAGTCAACCTAACACAGCCATCAGTCTATTTATATTATTGTGATGTGCGGTCATCCTTGTTGTGACTGGTCAACCAAAATTACCAGCTCTTAAATAACCAAATCTAATGATATAATAAAGTTTTTCTGCACCCATTTGAAAAGCAAAAGGTGAAATTATTTTGAACAATATGTTTTATTTCATTCGATATATCCAAAATGTTTCAACATATAATCAACATTTTAAAATTATTACTGAGCTGCTTTACATTTTTTCATGCTAAGTCTCTAAAATCAATATGTCTTATTTTTATAGTGCTTGACCCAGATGCAGATATTTCCTTGAAATTACTTTATCTATATTTAGATTTCATAATATTTATAGTTCAAAAAGTAGATGCACTTGCCCAACAAGTTCCAAACTTACTTAAATATTACCCTCCCAAATAGTCAAATATCGGTTTATATATTATATTTCAACTAATTCTAATTAAATTAAAGTTTTAGTCCTTCAGCAACTAGTCACTTTTCAAGTGTAGGAAGCTTCAGTGGCTCCTAGTGGCTACCATATTAGACAGCATAGCTATAGATTATTGTTAAAACCATGTATACCTAAGTGCTTTTATATTTTCCCAAGTTACTGTTTATGTAGAATTACTCCATGCCATGAATTCTCAGGAAATTGTTTTTACTAATTAGATGTATTCCTTAAGTCTGTAAGTACCTAGGGGAAAAGAGTTCCACATATTTGTGCTCTATCCCAGGGTGAGGGAGTGCCTTGCACATAGTAGGTGTCTAGAAATGTTTACCTTGTTAAATCCTATTTATTTATCAAATTGCAATTTAAATTTTACTTTCTCAGAAAAGTGTTTCCTACTTTCTGGTCTGGTACATGTTTCTTCCTTGCATTTTCTCATAGAAATAAGTTCTTTTCCTCCAGAACATAGATACTTATGTACTTGTTTGAGTAATTTTGTGGTAAATAACCATTCCCCTGACTAGTCTATAACTTCTGTTGGGGTTGCGGGGCGGAATGTGTATTTGGTAACGAAAGCATTCCTTGCTCCAAGTATAGGGCAGGCATGTGGCAAATAGGGAATAAATATTGGTTAGGGAATAATAGCACAGGGTCATTTAAAATATGAATTAGCAGAATATTAATTGTTAACTTTATAGATGTTGCAGTTTGTTTTGTGCATGGGAGAGGAAGATTTAAGTATTGTACATTCTAAAAAGTTTGCAAATTCTTAGTTTTTGTTCAAGCTTTTGTAAAATACACCAATAAATATACTTTATCTTAGCTTTCTCTCTACTGTCTTGGTATTCATTTTCTTGAAATCTATCACTTCACCTCTCTCTCTGCTTATAAATTCAGGTGCACTGAAGACAAAAAAGGAAAACTGAGTTGCAGAATTCATTTAAGGAGCTGAAAAGGCACAGAGCAAAAGCAAAGGCATAGAGGAAATATCTCTTGCTATTTCAGAAGAGTTTAAAATAAACCCACCCTTTTAATTACACCAGAGTAATGAGCCTTACCCACAATATGGGAAAATGTAACTAAAAATGTACTGTGAGCCAGTAGACCGGGTTGTCAGGTTATTATCTGAATCATAAAGTTGGAAGTAATGCCCATTAAAGGTTACTAGTTTGGAAAGGTTAGATTAGAATTAGGCTGCAAATATGAAGTTTCACAATTTGAATCATGTTTCAGAAAAACCCCAGCATTTAACTTTTTCTTCTAATGTTTCATAAAAGTATAATAAATGTACAGAAATATGCCTAGAAGAGTTCAGCTTGGTGAATTTTTACATCCAGATCAAGAAAAAACACTTCATCATCACAGTGTCCCAGGGGCTATCCACTAGCTTCTCCCCTTTTCCTGATCCCTGGGGTAATCCACTGTCCTGACATAGATTAAGTTTTCCTGTTTTTGTCTATTTTATAAATGGAATTTATGCATTATCTGCATTTGAATCAATAGATTATCATTCTAAGTGAGAGTCTTGATAGCAACTCAATGAAAAGGAGGTATGTTTTCAGTTTTCCATATTCTGTATCTAATTAGGTAGCTGGCAGTCTGTCTAGTTCTTTATTTTTCTTTTAAGAAACTTTGTATCGAAATGCAAGTGTGTGCATATGTGTACACACTCATAAACATTCACACTTTTAAAAATTTTACCCAAATTTGATCGCGCTCTGTACCCGTAGTATCCACCTCTCTGTGTTTCATTTTAAAGGTGTTTTCATATAACTCAGGTCAATCCACTTCATTTTTCCTAAGGACTGTGCAATGCTCTGTTATATGGATGTGTCCTCACCTAATGGGCCAGCATCTGTTTATTGGATTTCTCTTGGGACTTGTTCCTAGTCTTTGCTCATTTTCCCACAAGCTTGCTCATATTTTTCTTAATGATTTCAGGGGACTCTTTCTATATAAAAGATAATCAGCCCTTTTAAGTCCTCTTCAGTGTTTTTATTTTTTGTCTTTAATGTGTATATAGCCAGTAGCAGTTCTCCACTAGCGTCAGTTTTTGTGGTTCTTGGAATGTATATTGATTGAAGTGCAACAGGAGACAAACTCTGGATAATATTTTTTTAATGTTGTTGGTTTTGCTGAGACCTTCATGTTCTGTTGTGCGTACTGGCAAACATGTTTCTGGAAACTTGTGATTTGGAAAAATTGATGTAACTGATGTACAGTCTTTGTAACGATCATGCATTTGCTGGCAATGATTGGCGGATCATCTTTTTGGACAGTCTGATTCCAGAGCAAAATTTTCAAGTGAAATTTTTTCTGCATTTTGTGCTATAGCAGAAACCCTGTTTTTCTTTACTTCCATGTATTCTTCACAACTGGTGTTGGAAAAAATGGGTCAACAGTAACAAAAATAAATGTCCTTTCTCTTTGTTGGATCAGTGATTACATGATCTACAATGATCTGCAGGAAATCAGCAGTGAAACTTTTTGAAAAGCTTCCCTGTCTTTATATGCCGATACTTGGTTTTGCATCTGCTAAAATCACCAATAACATGTGGTTGTACACATTAAATTTGAAATTAATTTGTGTGGCACAGCATTTTGTTTCTGGACCAATATTTTAACAGTTTTATTGATGAATATTGTACTTTGGATTGCCCTGGTCTTCTCTTTCTTTGATTTGGTCTGCCACTGAGTCAGTGTAGATTGTGTTTTACCTGCATGTCTGTCTTCAGAAACAAGGTCTCTGTAGCTCATTCTAATCATCATTAATGATGTGAATGGTGTCATATAGGAAACTCATGTTTTCTGCCAGAAAGAATCTGAACATATTGGAGAACAGAAATTTATAATAATCAATGTATAACTTCTTTCTGTGATATTGCCATTTGTTTGTAATTATCCTGGATTCCAAAGAAAATTGTCATGGGGAACAGATTCCCAGTGGTGAAGATATCTGATGTAGAATATTTGCAGGCCAAGAGATGGTTGCGTTATAATTTTAATATTCGCTGTCTTTTGGTGACATCTTATGTTGTGTCTTCTCAAGCTTTCTTTACTAAGGAGCTTAGCTGTCGCACAGATAAAGCCCATTAGCCTGTAGGACGGAGCTAGTGATAAATACCTGGAATTTGGATAGATAGCTTTCCTATGTTTTCATTGTTAAAGTTATTTTTTATTGTTCAAGAAATAGTATCTTTCATGGCCTTGGGAAATCCTGTTAGCATGCAGAATACTGTGGAAATTTTGTTGATTTATTAAAAAAAAAATCTGGAAAAAAATGACCTGAACACCCCCCCCCCAGAAAAAAAGTGCTATGTCCAATGATAAAGAAAATTTGGACGCTATTTGCTAAAATTTAACATTTTAAACAATGTTTGGAAGGACTTTCAATGCTATGTTTTTTTCCTTGTGTGCTTTGTTATTTTGGGGTTTTAATTTCTCAAATGATCCCTCTTTTCAGATTTCAAATTATAACCCATTTCCTGCACCATTGCTGGCGTCCAGTGATCCATGTCAGAAGTACTTCCAGGTCAGATACACTTTTACATCTTTCAATGCAGAGAAGCAGTTGAATATTAAAGCCTTAACAAATATATATGTTAAATGATTGTTTTGCTGTAAAAGGTATGCTTTGCTAAAATAACGTGGTTTTCTAATGTAATAGAAAAGTAGATCATTAAAATGAGATAGAATTCATTGCATAGTCTGCTAATATCAGAATGTAAGAAATATTTTAATTGAGTATAACAGGAAAATCAAAGCAATTTCAAAATGTTGGCATCTAGCACTGCTATTGATAAGCCAGTGAAGTGTTAAATATGAATAAGGGAGGTGTTGGTATTGAGTCTCTGTAAGCTGCATCTTAGCAATAGTGGGGTATGTGTAGAACAGAGCTTCCCCAATTCTGTATTCTGCTTGAATGTAGTGCTGATTAATTTCAGGCATTAAGAGAGCCATCTTAATTTTATTGTATGGCCCTTTCTTTGTGTCATGATGGATGCTCGTCTACCCACAACGTGGTTTGGGTTTTAATTTTCAGCCTCACAGAAATATCATAAGGAAAAAGCAATTGCAGTGACTTTACAAATTAAATGTAGTATAGGACTTCCCATGGTAGATAGATCTGGGTATGTTCCATCCTTATTAGGACATGTACCATTCAGCATGTTCTGAGTTTTTCAATAAATAGATTTCAACCATGGATAAAGAGATATTAATCTCTTTAAATTCTAAAATTGAGCTTGTGAAGATTGTTCAAGCTCCTTTTTCCTTTGTTTGACACTCCATGTTCCATTTCAACAGAGAACTAAAATAAAACTTAATAAAACAAACACTACACTCAGCAGAGGTATATGAGTGTCAGGAAAAGATCCTTTTTGTTAAAAACAGCCAAAAAACAAAATGAGAGACTACGTTCACACAGGAAAATTAGAAACTTAGAGGTAATTTTTCAAGACCATCTAATCATACTGTGATAATTTGGCAAAGGAGTATATTTTTCTTGGTAAATATTTATTTGAGTACGTATGTTAACTTTCGAAAATCAGAGCAAATGCTTTTGTTCTTTCAACAAAAACATTTTAAATGTGAAGAATAGTTCCTTTTAGGACTCTTAATTACTTTGCAAGACAGACTTGGTGTCGAAACATTGAATGAACAAAGCTGGCAAATATATAAAATAACATGTTTTCCTCTAAATGAAGGTAAACTGACTAACTTTTAGAAATTTGTTACTGTCACTATATTTTCTTATGCTAATGTATTTGTTCTTCCTGTTGGTTGGTACTCAAATTGCTTTACTCATTGATAATTATATAAAAGATAATGAAACTGTTGTCCATCATGTTTTTTTTAAGATTTATTTATGCATACAAGAATCGGGGTACAGGCCAGGGGTGCAGGGGGTGAGAGGATTCACCAGAGACAGGGCAGGGAGCAGAACAGGTGGATCTACTGAAATACACTGCTGAAGGGAGCAGCTGGTGAAACAGGAGAGGTCTGCTGCACCATGTGGGTAGCTTCCTGGCTGAAGATCGAACTCGTGCTGCAGTGGTTGTGGACAGCTTTGCAATGCTGCAACTTAACCCCTTGCGCCACCAGGGAGGCCCCCAACATGGTTTTTAATAGCAACCACTACTATCATACATTGGTATAGAATGTAATACTGCACCAATACAGGAAAGCAGTATTCTTTCAGTATCATATTTCAGCCATTTTTTACTTGAAAATTCAAGTAACAAATAGTGAGGGAGTATCTGAATCAATAATAGGGATATGGAATAACTTCAATTTTGTCTTCCAACTCTGGAGTTGGGACTACAGTAAGCCTTAAAAAAAAAAAAAAGTAATAATTTAGACCATTATTTTGCCTGGAAAATTCCTGATGAACCTTCAAGATTCAACTTAAAAGTTCTTTCTGAAGAGGTCTTAGCTTATGACATAACTGCCTCTGTTTTAAGGATTCTGACATTATTTAAAGTTTCCTTTTTCCCTTTTGGAATTGATTTGAGACCCAATTTACCAGTTCTTTAAGAAAACCTGTGTCATTACTTTATTGCTCACCATTTTTTTTAATCTAAACTAGAATTCCCAAGCTTGATCATTGACCTATTCATCAGCCTGGGCCATAAAGTTCTACAGCTATATATTTTTTTGACTATTTTTTCCAAGTTATTTTTTTAAATTTTTCGTTTTATATTTTTTTGCATCATTTTTCATTTTTGCACAATGTATGCATTTTCATCATGGCTATAGTCCCCATACAATTCCCACCTGCCTTGTTTTGATCCTCCTCCCTTCTCCCTTCCCACTTCTTTCCCCAGGGTGTATCTGGTTTATAGTTGCTTTTTGATTTTGATTTTTACTTTATTATGATTAGTCTTTTTCCTGGTCCCTTATTTAGGTTTTCTAAATTCCTGCTATGAGTGAGACCATCTGGTATTTTTCTTTTTCTTTTTTCTTTTTTTAAAGATTTATTTGTTTGTTTATTTATACAAGAACCAGGGTACAGGCCAGATGCGTGGGAGGATAAGAGGATTCACCAGAGACAGAGCTGGGAACAGAACAGACAGACTGACGAAATACACTGCTGAGGGGAGCAGCGGGCAAGGCAGGAGAGGTCTGCCATGCCATGTGGGTTTCTCCCGGCCTGCTGGGATTGAACCCACTCTGCAGAGGCTGCGGACAGCTTCACAGTGTGGCGCTCAACCACCTGCGCCACCAGGGAGGCCCTATTTTTCTTTTTCTATTTTTTTAAAATGCATTCATCTTTAGAAGACAGTGACACTCTTCTAAATGATGAAAACAGCCTAGAAATTGGGCAAAGAAAAAATGCCCTTGGCATAAACATTAAATATCCAAGTGACTACTTTGACAGTCTTCTTAATTGATTACACCACTTCTGATTCATATTTCCTAAATAACCAATTGCCACATCTGCCAGGAGTGAGGTTGGAATGTCAGGCGTTCCCACCTGGGGTTTATTTCTCGTCCTTGTCCATGGTGGACTCTTACCTACCCTGCAAGACTGTGCTCAGCTGTATTTTTTTTTAATGTGTGTGATACCTTCTCTGAACCTCTCTCCTCAACCCTCAGCCAGTCGAGTTAAGTGGGCGAGGGCAGCCCTTGGGTGGGTAAGACCAACTGTTGAAGTCTCTGGGAAAGTTGCCTGTAAATCACTGTAGAAGTTGCTCTCCCAGCTTTAGAAACTTCCCAGGTTCTAGACCTGTGAGCTCTCTGACACAGTGACCCAAGCTGCCTGCTAATAACCTTTACCTCTTTTGTTCATAGAGGAGTTCTTATCATTTTTGTCACATTGAGGCTCGACTTTCATCAGTAATTTTCAGGAAACCAGCTTTATTTTGCTTCTCCTTCCTAAATGAAAAAAACGAAAAGCAAAAAAAACCACCCTAAGTTTATTTCATTTCCTTAGTACTTTGAGGTCTGGTTCAAAAGGCAACATTCCTCAGGGTAGAAGCTTTGCAGTTAACCCCTCAGGGAATGTAAAATTGCATAGCAGAAGACTGAAAACAGAGAACACATGAAGTGTCCTTCGAGAGTGGGGCAGATACCGGACCTCCTGAGCCCCTGGTCAGCTTCCAGTTTCAGATGCGTGGCAGGAATTGGGAAATGAGGGAGAGCAGCAGGTTGTTGTTGAAGACTTTTCTTTGGCAGAAGGCTAGCGGGCTCAGAGCAGAGAGCAGGTGGGCGGGTTCAGCTGCAGCCTTATGCCCTGGTTGGCAGATTGTGATCTGAGTTGTGGGGGTCACATCTCAGGGCTGGGGTCTTTGTGAATGGGTTTGAGAAATTAAATGAAATTAAAATGACTCTGGCTTACCTGGTTTTCTTTAGGCTTATAAAAAATACTCTTGTATTTACTAAAGCTCTTTTTGTTGCTAAAAGGAGAAATCCAACTAGAAGTGGTTCAAGCAAAAAAAAAAAAAAAAAAATCTTTAGGCTTTGACATCCTAGTTGTCCATGATTCAGGCCCAACTTGTTTCAGGGATGCTGACAATATCTTTCAAGCTTGCTTCTTTCTCTGTCTCTTGACTCTGCTTACTTGTTTGTTAAGTTCATACTTTTATAGGTTATCTCTCCATGGTGACACCTTGAAGCTCTAGGCTTTTTATTATTTTTTTAATAAGAGAAAAAAAGCCAAATAGAAGTTTAATAATAACATATTACTTCCTGTATCCATGGGAGAGACCAGCATGAATGAGTAACTCATTGGCTTCAGACACCACCTAAATAGCTTAACTAAGCCGGGACTTTGCAGGTGGAGAAAGGTAAGGTCAGTTAGGGAGGTGACTGGGGAAGGCAGGGTAGACAAAAGTATGAAGATTTAAGTTCTCAGACTTTTATCTTCTCTATCAAGAAGTGAAAGGAGAACACTTCTGATCATTCTAGCAAAAGCCTCAGGATTACTTTGTGAGTCACATGCTGTTCCTTGAAGCAGTCACCATAGCCATGGGGATTTGCTGCTCTGAGTGTCTGGACTTGGGTCATGTGCCCAAGGAAGTAAGGGGTAGAGTCATTTTTGTTGATTGAATGAATGAATGAGCATGGGAGAAGACTGATTCCTCAAGAAAAAGGGTGAAGCTCTCTCCAGAAAAAGTGGAAATACATGCCAGGCTATAATAAATGTTTCTCCATCATGAATGCAGGAGACTGATTGTTAATATTAACTTTTTTATACTCTTTTTTTTTCTTTTTTTCTTTTCTTTTATATATTTTTACATCATTTTTTATTTTTGCACAATGTATGCATTTTCATCTTGGTTATAGTCTCCACACAATTTCCACCCCCCTTATTTTGACTTTTTTATATTCTTAAATCTGAACATATACCTAGCTCTGGATTAGTAATCCATCCTATTGAATTGATACTGGAACTTTATAAGTCATGTTACAAAATAGCATGATGGATAGGTGTGGAGGTAATTGCAAAATTATAGGCACCGTCCACCTGCCAGAAATCCAGGAGCAGAGCCACCTCTGAACTGAGGACCTGCCTTCAGAGTTACTGGTATTTGCTTTTTCATTCATCATTCATTTTGTTTGTTTTATGTTCTCTTGAGTTCAAGCAACTGACACATAGTTGCTGTTCAATAAATACTTAGTGAATGAGTGAATGGATTAATGAATCAGACATTTATTGAGTACTCTCATATGCAAGGTTTTGCAAAAGACACTGGAAATTCTGGGAATGTAAAAATGAAAGGGAATGCAAATCAAACCCACCACGAGAAACCACTTCACACCCACTAGAATGGCTGTAACAAAAAATAGGCAATAACAAATGTTGGCAAGGATGTGGAGAAATTGGAACCCTCATATACTGCTGGTGAGATGTAAAATGTACAACTGCTTTGCAAAACAGTCTGGCAGGTCCTCAAAAGGTTAAATATATATATAAAGCATATGAGTTATACTCAGCAACTCCATGTCTTAGTATATATCTAGGAGAATTGAATGCATATGTGCACACAAAAACTGCATGAATGCTCATAGCAACATTATTCATAATAGCTAAAATTTGGAAGCAACCCAAATGTTCATCGACTGATGAAGAGAGACAACACATCGTAATCCAAACAATGGATATGATTTGGCCATAAAAAGGAATGAAGCACTGATACATGCTACAACATAGACGAACCTTGAGTATGTACTCAGGGAAGGAAGCCAGTCACAAGAGACCACATATTGTATGATTCTATTTGAGTGAAATGTTCAGGATGGGCAAAATCCATAAAAACAGAAGATAGATTAGTGGTTGCCAAGAGCCTGGGGAAGGGAAGAGTAAGAATGACTGCTGATAAGTACAGTTTGCTTTCTGGGGTGATAAAGTTCTGCAATTAGATTATAGCAATGGATGCATAATTCTGAATACGCTAAGCAGCATGGGATTGTACTTTAAAAATTGTGAACTTTGGGCCTCCCTGGTGGTGCAGGGGGAGGGAGCTGTGGGTACTAATGGTCCCTATGGTTCTGAGCTCTTCCATTGTGCCAGGCATGCGGTTAATGCCTGGCCACCATTGCTCAGTCCTTACAAGCTCAGTGAGGTAGAGATACCATTATTATCCCCATTTTAAAGTGGGGAGTTTAAGTAACTTCTCTGTTGCATCGAAGAGTTTGGATTTATTCTTAGGCTTTTTAACTCCAAACAAGACAGCCAACTATTAGAAGATTTCAAGAGGTATTATAAGCTTTTCTTCCTTTTAAAAAAAGAAACTCAAAAACTCCTTCCTCTTAAACCTGAGGAATGTGATTTCCCCCCCCCCCCCCCTTTTCATATTGAAACCCTTCTAGACCTGACTTCTTTAGCCCTTCTTGTCTGGGCAACAAGACCTTTTCATCACTCAGACCAGAGACAACCTTGGCAAACAGCCCCTGTGCTCTGCCACTGGATAAGAGGAGGGCCGCTCACATTGTGTGTGCTGTGCTGAACTCCCTGCAGCATGTCTTGTTAATCCTCACAACAACCAGCTGCTACTGGTGTCCCCATATTGCAGACAAGGATGCTGAAAACCAGGTGTCCGAAACCCTCCAGTAGTAGTAAGTAGTAGTAAGTAGTAGTAAGTAGTCCAGACAGAGCTTGAGCCTCATCACTCTGGCCCCAGTCCTGTGCTCTTATCCTCGTGGGCACTGCCACCCCCTTGCGGGGAACTCCTTCCTGCCATCTTAATCTTGCTGGGATTTTGCCAGCTTCTACCTATTTCTACCTATTTCTACCTTGGAGCCCATCCTAGCTGATGAAGTAACTCCTGGAGGCAAATGTGTGCTTCAGCGGATTAACCTAACTGCCTTAGTCCTAGAACTAATCATTTTATTTTGCTTCCCAATGATGCCATCATTTGATAGCAAAGACATACTCAAACTATGTTTAGACTTTGATCTATAAAAATAGTATATACAGTTTGTATTGGATTGCTCCATTATTCTGTCTCAACCCCCTCTCCATCCTCCAACCTGTGATTTCTAGCAAGCAGAGGAATTATAAAGAGGAAGGGTGATGGATTCCAAAGGCTGATGAGAATATGGCTGAAAGTTTTTATCTGTCACATCCAGGAAATAAAGGCTACTTAAGTATTAAGTTATCTAAAAATTTTGATGGTATTCTTTCTGGAAATGTTTATGGTTACAAACAAAGTAAATAAAAATTTCACCCTAAAAACAACACTAGATGCTCATACCTAACATTGTAAAATAGCCCTGTAGAAATTTGTTGCCATGCTTTTTAAAAAGCCAACAGATTTCCAGCTTTCTCATAATAATGTCACTCTAAATACCCAGGAATCTAAATATAATTTCTTGTTGTGTGCTTATATCATGGGCATATGTCTCAGGGAAAACTGTATGTGGGCTCAAGGAGGGCTCTTCTCATATCAGATGCTACTCTTGAGTAAGGTTTAATTGTAATTGTTTTTAATTTTAATTTTGGGGTTACACTTTGCTCTTCCATATGTGCTCGTGTCCCACTCACCCTCCACCAAACTACCCTTATCCCCTCCTCCCTGTTCTCTCTGGTAGCCATTATATTCTTTCACCGAGTTCAAGATTTATTCCTGCTGCATTTTGCCTGTGTATGTTCTTTGGTTATTTGTATTCCACAGATGAGTGAAGCCACCTGATGTCCATCTTTCTCTTTCTGACTTATTTCACTTAACTGAATCACCTTTAGGTCCGTCCATTTTGTCCCAGATAAATTACAAATTGAGGCATATATTTTCCTTAAAATGATAACAGTAGCCAGAATAGTATAAAAAGGAATTCTAAAAATTTAGTTGTCAGACTGTCATTTGAAAGGGAGAAACACAGTAGATTCTCTGTTCCTATAAATGAGGCCCAAGTGCTGAGGTGGAGTGCTGATACGCAGGAATCTTTATAGTATATAATAATTCTGAAGAATGAGGGCCCAGGTCTAACCACTTTGGGTTACAGCCCCTTCTGCCACTGTGGGTCACATGGTCACAGGTTATAAATCTGTGAGCTGCACAGATGTATACGGGTGTGGATAGAATGTGCAGGTGGGTCTAGTTTCCTAGAAGGAACAGACTGAAGAGTGAGTGAGTGATGCTTCTAAAATAGCCCACCCTGAGTATTTAATGATAGAAAGAGATGCCTCTAAGCTCCCAAACAGGGAAACTTCTTGCCTTCCTCTCCTATGGAGGTCCCTGTTTTGCCTGTGGGGTGGAAGAGGGAGTTGTCACAATGCAATTTTAGGAATGTTAGAAGCTACACACACACATACTGACTACCTTGCCTCTCTATGCAGCAGAAAGGATCAGATCAGAAAGAAGCCATTCCTTGTAAACTGAGAAATGTGAAACCTTAGGAATTGCTGCTGATCAATTTTATTCCTTTCAATTCTGAGAAACCTTTCTTTCGTCCTAGCAAGAGACACGTGGAATAAATCACTAATGCTGTGAACAATATTTCAGATAAATGCAACTGTCAGATAGTTCTCTGGGAGTAGTACAAAGGCACATGGTGACTGCAGCCAGCTGAGTTGGTATTTTAATTCAGTGGAATGTATTCAGACTCCTTTGGAGGCTCTAAAAGGTCTATAGCCAAGGGCTCTGTGCTGTGGTGTAAGTAGTGGTTTTATGTGTGTATGTTCTTGAGCAGTGAAGCCATTTCTTCAGCATTTCTGTTTAGTAGGGACATTAAGCCCAGGTCAAGTGTGTTAACAAATTGCAAACAGAGGTTTGATTTTTCTAGGCATTCAGAACATAATAGGTTCTGAATAGGTTGAGAAAAATGACGTTGGACATAGGGTACATCATTGAACAGTGACCTTTCACGTTAATTAAAAAAGCGGGAACCCCAGTGGAATTTTGAGCTACTTTTCTGTTGCTCTAAGAAACTACAGAGTCAATGTGGCATAAATGCTTAGAAAGGGATGATTTTTAAGCTTGTAAACTATGAGGACCAGTTCTCAGAAGGAAATGCTTTTATGTGAATTCAAAAGAGAGATATATTTTCATTCTAAGAAAAATTAGATCCTCAGACCTCCTAGTTTTTCTAGAAATTGGCTTTTGTGGGTCCACATTAAACCTTTTATTTGTTCCTATTTAACATGTGAGAACAAAGTGGAAATGGGTTAATTCTTGACGGATGTATGCAATGGAGGCATTAATTCTTCTGCTTTTCTGTACAAAATAGTCTGTGCACACTCTATGCTCAGTAGTTTAACCTGGCGGCTGTCTGATACCCAGTCTTTTTTTTTCCAGCTGACTCAGGTGTCGACACTTTGCCGGTGTTTATGGCCAGCAGCGGAACCACAGACGTCGCAAATCGGAACAGCCCGGTCACACCACCAAATACCCTTAATCTCCGTTCCTCCCACAATGAACTTTTGAATGCTGAAATCAAGCACACAGAAACCAAGAACAGCACGCCCCCCAAATGCAGGAAAAAATATGCACTGACTAGCATCCAGGCGGCCATGGGCCTCTCGGATCCAGCTGCTCAGCCCCTACTGGGAAATGGCTCTGCCAACATCAAGCTGGTGAAAAATGGGGAGAACCAGCTCCGGAAGGCTGCGGAACAAGGGCAGCAGGACCCCAACAAAAACGTCAGCCCCACTGCAGTCATCAACATAACTTCTGAGAAGTTAGAGGGGAAAGAGGCACCCCCTCGGGATTCCTCGGGCTGTGAAATTTTACCTTCCCAACCCAGGAGAACCAAGAGCTTTCTAAATTACTATGCAGACCTGGAAACCTCAACCAGAGAACTTGAGCAGAACTTAGGCAACAGCCATGGGGATGTAGAAGAGAAGTCCCAGGCAGGCCAGGGCCAGGCCAGCACCGTCATCAGCAATGGTGATTTGCTGCTGCAGAAACCAAACAAACCCCAGTTCAGCCCTGAAGATGGCCAAGTAGCCACCGTGTCATCCAGCCCAGAGACCAAGAAGGATCATCCGAAAACAGGGGCCAAAACCGACTGTGCACTACACCGGATCCAGAACCTGGCACCCAGTGATGAGGAGTCCAGCTGGACAACGCTGTCTCAAGACAGTGCCTCACCCAGTTCCCCGGATGAAACAGGTACCCCTGGGAATGGTGGGGTAGCCTCAAGTGGCACTTTCTTTTGGTGTTTTCCATTATTGATGGATAAAGTCTCTAGACTGGCCCAAAAAATCCACTTTCAGACAGAGAATGAGGTTCTTGGGGTAAAATTGGGCAGCTTGTGTGGAAAATAGTAGATTCCTCAAGGCTTTCATTTTGGCTCACACATATATCGTTTGTTCTGATAATCATTTTTGTAAAAGAAGTAGGTCTTCGGTGCTTAAGTACAGTGAAACATCATCAATTGAGAAACTACATTGCCAGTGCTTAGGTGAACTGTATCTATATATGATCGAAAAATACGGGGGGTTAAGCAGAATAATAAAAGACATACAATTCCCGGGAGCGTGATATAACCCCATCAAAAGAGAACCAACTGTTTAAAAGTCCTCAGAAGAACTTATTTATGTTCAAACTGATGAAAAGTTAAATGTTTAAAAGTCTTTTCATTAAAGACATTTCCCACTTGACCTTTACTGGGAACATTTTATTAGCCTTGTTCAAGTACTATTTGAAAGGAAGAAAGTGGCATTTTTTAAAAAAAATCTATTCAGAAGTTTAAGATTTTAAGTACTCTTATTAAAATGATCTTTCTTGACTTTTGTCTGTATTCATAACATCTTCAGGTTTTCAGAAGAGTGAAAATGGTGATAGGGTCCTAATTGTCAGCTACTTTTAATCTTATCTTCTCACAGCACCTGTAGACTTGTAGACTGATCACAAGGTTAAAATGCAGGTGAACTGTATCTTTATACAATTGAAAAATTCTGCATTTTGTTAAGCAGAATAATAAAAGAAATACAATTCCCAGGAGCTTGATATAATCCCATTAAAAGAGAGCCAACTATTTTTAAGTCCTCAAAAGGACTTATTTATGCTCAAACTGATACAAACAAACTTTTTTGTACCTGAATTCATTGCAAATAAGCACTTACACAATGGCTAATTTCTCTAATGTAGACCAGCAATTAGTCTAGTGGGTCCTAGGAATTACTTAATTTGGTACAGATAGAGCAAATAGAAAAGGTAAGACCAGTAGGGAAGGAAATAATGTATTTCCAACCTAGAAGGCAGAGTGAAATTATAAGATCTACAGATAAGGAAAAGAGAAGGAAAATGTTAAGACACTCATTTGTTTAAAAAATAAAGGAAGTATTTTTGAAGCACCTTTTAAAATCCGAGCACCTTTTTAAAAAATTGTATTATTTTTGAGATAACAATGGCTTATACCCCTGTATATAATTTGGGGGAACAGTTTCACCATCTCCAGATGTATGTTAACCATACCATGTCCACCACCAAAGCACCTGTAGTCCTCCATCATAATCCATTGGACCCTCAACCACCTTTGCTCCGCAGCCCTTACTCCCCCTTTTGTAGTTTCAGTTCTATAGTCAGTTCTGTATGTTCCTTTGTTTTTGTTTCTCTATATCCCACATGATTGAAATCATATGCTATTTTTCTTTCTCCTTTTGACTTATTTCACTTAGAATAACCCCCTCTACTTCCATTTATGTTGTTGCAAATGGTAAGATTTCATCTTTATAGCTAGGTAATATTCTCTTGTGTATGTATACACCATATCTTCCTCATCCATTCTGTCTGTCCTTGGGCACTTAGGTTATTTCTGTAACTTGGCTAACTTGCTAAACAGTGCTGCAGTGAACACAGGAGTGCATATACCCCTTTGAATTAGTGTTTTTGCATCTTTCAGATAGATACCTAGAAGTGGGCTTGCTGGATCATAAGTCTATTTTAAAAATATTGAGAAACCTCCATACTGTTTTCCATAAGGGCTGGAAAAATCCCAGTACTTTATTCTTCTTATTATTAATTTCACATTGATATCTTTATGTACTTATTTTTGAAGTTAATATTTTTTTCAAATGATGTTGATTGAGATAAAGGTTTACAGCATTGTATCTTTGGGAGTTATAGGTTTAAACCTCTACAAATCTGTATTTTCATACCATGCCTACCACCAGTGCCCCAATAATCCTCATACTTTAAATGATAGATCGCATCAGCTGGTGTAGCTAGATAAGGTAAATGGAGAGGGTACGATGAGAACATTTCATCTCATAAATGTCTGGACCTGCACATTATTTGGATCATAATTATGTTTAGTAATGTCACTGAGTTCACAACTCTATTACTTTTTGCCCATTTAGAGAATTCATATCCCATAGCTGATGGACATTGTGACCTGCTAGTATCTGAATCTTTATAAACCACTCTAGCCAAACTCTGCCTCCCTTTTTCAGTGCCTGCCTGTTTTCCTCTATGTGTGGCAGCCTTTCTGCTGCCTTTTCTGGCATGGCATTTCATGGTATAGTATGTTTAAATTTTACTGAAAGGTTTCAAATGAGCAGTGAATTCTCCCCTGTTCCTCATATCCTCCTTCTCCTTTGATAACCATTACTGCCTCCCCCCTTCTTTTTTTAATACTTTCTTTCAGTGAACATTTTAGGCATATATTCACATTTATAATAAAATTTTAAAAGTTACCCAAATTTTATACTAAAGATATTTTTACAGGGCTCTTACTGTTGAGAGATATATATTAATATACTAATATATAGAATAGTATAATATATAACATAATATAGGTCAACTATAACAATAGAATATAATACATATAGTTATACATGTACTAGTATAAATTATAATATTGCGTGTGGAATTGTCTATAAAATAATAGGGATTAAAAATGAAAGAAAATTGCCCATAAATTTATAATTGCTAAAGGTAGGTCATGAGGATTTATTATTCTGATTTTTCTAATTTAGTATGTTTAAAATTTCCATAGTAAAATGTTACAACATGAAAATAATGACTCACATTAGATTGTCTTAGGAATGCTCTGTTTCTGTCTATGTTTATATTTTATACATCAGTCCAGGCCAGGACATACCATTTTTCTACCTCAAGCTTTTTAAGGTTAGGCATGCCATTCCACCGTAGTCAAGCTCCCAGATTTATTTAATGATTCCCTCGCTGCTGAGTATTTAGATTATTGCTATCTATAGTGTCTTAGCTTAGTGAGTGCTGAGGCCATTTAGCCTGACAATGCATGCTCTGCCCCGTTTACTATGATGAGGTTCCCTCTGCTCAGCTCTTATTTGTACAGTGTTTGGTGCTGATTTCAGTTTTATATTAAAGATATTTTTACTTAGTTCTTACTGTTCAGAGATATATACTAATATATAAAATAGTATAATGTATAACATAATATAGGTCAAATATAACAATAAAATATAATACATATAATTGTAAATGTTCTAGTATAAATTATACTATTGTGCATGGAATTTTCTACAGAGCCCATTACAGTGTTTGGCATGTGGTGTTACTGGATAGAGCTTTCTGACATGTTGAGAAGATATGTATAGTTTTCTGTCTTAAAGTTGGATTTAGGGACCTTTGAATTTTAAAGTGGAGGATGATAGTGTGGTGATGGCTCTTAATGAGTCTCTAAGGATAGATGTTTTGAATCAAATGTACTCCAAAGGATATGTGAGATGTGACTCTAAAGCAAAGAGGTGGCATTTAAAAAAAAAAACAAAAAATGCCAGGCCTGTGCTTTTCTTCAAAAGGGTCACTTTGGAATCTGCATCTTTTTCAGTATGCAGCCATGTTGCAAAATACCATTATTAATAATATTTGGAAGTTGTTTTGGAATTTCCTCAGAACCAGTGGTGAACTCTTACTGAAAAGAAACCTCTTTATTTCATGATCACATGTTCATGAATCAGGAAGTGACTACTACATAAATTAGTGAGTAAAATAAAGGAAGCGATTATATTCAGCATTGGTTTGTATTTTGACTTCATCTTTTCAGTGAAGCACACTATTAAATGTTTACAATGATTACAATGAACTTAAACATCGTATGTTTCACTTCTAATGAAATAGTGTTTATTATGTATTTATGTAGCACATAGGATGTGTTTTATATAGTTTAGATAATAAACACAAATACTGTTCAAACAAAAATAGGAGCAAATATTCTCTAAGATGCTAGTATGCAGTGTCATATATTTACATAAGAAGTGTATCTATTTGCATATTTATTTGCTTGTGTTAACTAAGTATTCATCATAGGCATGTGTGTTTTATGACTAAATCATGACACAATTAACTGGATTGTAGACTATTCTTTGGGAAGCCTTGAAAAATAGAATAGACTCATTTCTACCTTAGGGGTAGAACCTTTCCAAGTTAGAATGCTATTTATAAAATAAAACACACTGCCTTCCCCAGAGATTGTCTATTTTCTATTTCCTTTCTTTCCCAACTGGCCCCTCCAGCATTTTAGTAACTTTCTTGCAAAATCAATCATGTATATAATATGTTGCTCTTCTTTTTCTCCTATGTATTCTACCCTTTGAGAAGAGACTATTAGATTAAAAAAAAAGCATCAGTTTAATCACTGAATTTCATAGGAGTTTAGAAAACTTCATGAGTGACTTGATCCCAATTCTAGGAAGAAAGGATTGCATCGTTTTGGTATTTGAAAAGTGAGAATTTATAATCTAGTTAGGATTTTGCCAGAGATACAGTTCCTCCATGGCCAGAGGTAAGCTAGATAAATACAGATTGGTCTCAATATGTGTAGTCCCTCTCTTAATCTCCTGGTGTTTTATGTTAACTTCATAAAATGTTTGAAAGACACTTCATTTTGATGCCACCTGTGTACAGGTTTTAGTGCTCTGTTGGTATGAATATGTAACTTAGGTTTAATTTGGGCCTTAATAAAGTTGAAGATACAGAGTGAATCTTGTGTAAGAGCCATTTAAACATTAAGTTCACTGCTGAAATGTACAAACACAGGATATGCACAGAATAAAACAAATCTAATGCTTCATTAACTTAGCACTAATGGCATGAGCCTATTGAGAAGATTAAGTGAGAGCACCTTCGAGGAGTTTTTAAGCTCTGTATCTGGCCTATGGGAAGTGCTTAATAAATATTAGTGT